TTCTTAGTCATAAGAATGCACTAAGATGACTTTAGAGGACCAATTGTGATATGGTATCTTAATCATTAAGATGATCATAAACATGATACTAAAGTACTCTCCCATCTTTTCAGATTTGAGAAACTTTTATCTTTCTGCCATACTTTGATTCTTCTTATTCGTTCTGTCTCACATTGAAACTTCTCCAATGCTACAGACTTATACTTAAACTTATAAGTATAACCATATTTACTGAACTTAAGTAAATCATGACGAATAGTCTTCTTGATCTTTTGTGGTGGACTTGACCAGTGCACAAGAATGTGTACTCGATCCCTTAGTCCTTTCCTTATTCACATAAGGAATTAGTCTTAATTTTCCAAGCTGAAAGTTCTCATTCATCATACTATACAACTTGCATGATTCCAAGTTTCGGTCCAATTGAACCTTGGGTGATGAGAATCTTTCCTTATTTGGTAATATTAGACACTACCACAACCGAAAGAATCAAATCCATTTTTCCAATATTGCTATCAATGGAATCTTATAAGCAACAACTTTTCACAAATGCCATTGTAAGGATACTTAAAATAAATAAAATCAAAACCTTTTTCTTTTATTTTAAAACTTTGCGGAAAAACTTATCCTTACAATCCATATGAAAACCTTGTTGTTATCTATTCCTAAGCAATATAAATATCATAACTCTTAAGTAATAGCCCAAAATTCTGATCACCGAACCATGCGATTGAAATCCATCTTCGCGATCAGAATCAGCATGTACTTAATAGAGTTAGACAATGGACTTTACCTGAAGTAGAGCCAAACTTATTGACTTTAACATCCTTAGGTAAATTTGGCAGCTTCGTAACCAATGCCCCTTCCTTTGGCAATAGTTACCTATGGACCCTTGATAATGGGACTATCTCAGACTTCGCCTCTCTCTTTACCATTGGGTCAACCGAGTTGACTATGGCCGATCCCTTTCCATTGGGAAGAGAGAGCTTTACTGGATATCCAATGTCATCATTGTCAATGTCCATAGCGTTTTAGGAAGTTGATCTTAGCAAATAGATAAGATCATTAAGGGTCTTGTCTTAGTCTGTTTCATAGGATTCCCAAAAGAACTCACTATGTGACTTAGAAAGTAGTTGAGCCACCAACTTTCTCAAGACTTTGACACCCAACTCTCCCGGCTTGTCAATATGTGACTACATCTCCAAGATGTGATCACACCTAGACCTTGCCTTGCCAATAGGGCTTGAGTGACCTTAAACTTTTTAGGAACTTGTGGGTTAGGGAGAATAATTGGAGGAGGTGAAAGAAGTATGATATCCATGGGACATCATCTTCATTTAGGAAAGCTTGTTTCAAGAGATTTGGAAGATCATAAATGTCTAGACCAGACATCTTTTTGGGAGATATTCAAGATAGTTGATTTAAAGTCCTTAATATGACACCCAATATGAAATATTAAGGCTAGGACCCAACAAACTATTTTATAACTTAAAAGAGGGATGCCGTAATCCAAGCTATAAAATATTTGAAGGTAGGTGAATGACGATTCACCAATTTCCACCATGAAAAACGAAATAATTTATTAGGTTTTAATTGGATTTGAAAGTCCTAGATCTTTGAGATTCATTGAACTGTTCAAAGGCATGTTTCAATCTCGAGTGTGCCCTTCAGGTTTTGTGACTGGGATGCCGAGGATCACAAAACAAGGTGTGAATAACCATGCAAATATACTTGGTACCCTTAATATTTACCCCTTAATCAGTGTGCCGGTTAACCACACACGCTCCACCGATACTATGATAAATATTAAGTTACCCTTTGCCTACCTTGTTAAGTCCAGGTTAGTGTGCCGGTTAACCACACACGCTCCACTAACGACTTAAGCAAAGTGCAAAGTGTAATTTCATGGGTTAGCACCAAATTCACATTTTCCTAAGTAACTAAGATTGGGTATTAATAAGAGTTTAGTTACTTAGTATTTATCATTAATACTTTTAATGAAAGGAGAATTATAGTCCTTGTCCTACCCGTTCGGCTAACGACCCTCCACCAGTCAAGGAAGCGGTGGGTGAGAGTGGACACCCATTAAACTGCCATTTTATAGGCAGTAACCTTATACCCCCCTTATAGACCGGCTTCGTGAATGAGGCCTACTAACGGTAAGACTGACTTTACTCTTATACATATATATAAATATTATTAACTTATAATACTATAAAGTATAAGGGTTGAATTTTAACTTTTAAAATTCTAAGGGCTAACTTGGAATTAAAGTATTCATAAGTGAAAACTTTTCAAATTCAAAACTTGAGGGCAAGTTTTGAAACTATTCAAAACTAATTAATTCATAACTTATGAGTTTAAAGTAGTTTTAATTAAAAAAAAAACTCTTCAAGTTCCATAACTTGAGGACAAGTTATGGAAGACTTTAAACTAATTAATAAAAAAAATAACTTTTTTTTTATTGTAACTTATGGAACTAATTAAGGTTACACTTTTTTTTTTAATTTAATGAAGAGACTCTTGAACCTCCATAACTTGAGGACAAGTTATGGAGTCATAAAACCATTTAATTAGAACTAGACTCTTCATTTTGTAACCTTTGCCAACTTTTATGAGTTTTATGATTCTTAAATGTGACTTTTCATATAACTTGAGGACAAGTTACAAAACACACTTTGGAATCAACTCTTAGATTAAAATGGATTGAAAACAACTATTTCACACAACTTTTCTATTAATCTAAGAACCTCATAAGAACAAGATAATTCAAATCATCAATCTTCAAGAAATTAGCATGAACATACAAACTAATACAAATTTTGAAATTATGACAATTATCTTAGAAATTGGATTAGCATGAACATTACCACATCAAAAACAAGTTTATAAGTCCAAAAACATCTTAGGGTAATGTTCCTAGTCCAATTCCAGCCAAAACAATCGAATATATGCATCCAACTCGATTTTTCAGCTACTTTTGCAAGTATAACAAGAAAACAAGCCTAGGCTCTGATACCACTGTTGGGTTATGAGCATTCTAACACTCCTAAGTGTACATGCAACCCTAAATACCTTGGATCTATGTTTTCTCTATTATACATACAATTATGAACATCCAAGGTATTATCCTAATCTAGCATACAAAATAATAAATATAACAAGATAGAATACATACCTCTTTGATGTAGAATGTCTTCATGAAGCTTGAGTGCCTAGTGCCCCAAGTGTGACACCTCAAATGGTTCACACAACACCAAATACACTTGGAATAACTTGAGAGAAACTTGAACACTCCTTGAAATCGTCTAGCCCTCATACTCACACATTAGTGCACGATTTCTTGAGCCATGGGATTCTTTTATATGGTGGCTATTAGGGTTACACCATGTAACTCATAACTTTACCCATTCCTTATGCTCCATGGATTTTAACCTCCATGGAGTATCCATGGGTCACCCCATGGACTTAGTCCAACATAAGGAATCTTTGATCACAAGCCCACATATATAAGAATGAATGATTTACACAATCAACCCATATATTTAATTAGTCTCCTTTTGATCACTTAATTAATTCCAAATTAATTCTTGATCAATACTAATTAAATAACCTTATTAATATATTAGAACTTATAATATATTAACCAACCTTAAGTGTTATTTCTCTCATTATAGTCTATCCAAATGCATGATGCCATGCAACCCAAATGGACCATGTCGGGTCGGGTCAAGTATTACCAATTATAGTTATGGACTTAGACATTAATCCAACATCATTAACCTGGATGGTTGTCTCCTGAAAGGTTTTTGCCAATGGGAGTTGCTTTGTGTCGTTGGTAGGGATGTTAACAATGGAATATTCCCAATTGCTTGGGCGGGTTGTTTGTGTGGAAAACAAGGACAATTGGAAATGGTTCATAGAAACTCTTTAAGAAGATTTGCAATGTTGGAATGAAGAACAAGGTTTGGTTCTAATTGATCAACACAAGTTATGGTACATAAATATTGCATGTTCTAAAATTATTAATTGCAATTCTAAGTTCAATCCTTCATGTGACATATGTAGGGTTTGGTTGAGGCAATAAAAGAAGTATTCCCAACAGCTGAACATAGGCAGTGTGCTAGACATATCTATGCCCAATTTTAGAAAGAGATTTAGTGGAGCAAAGTTTGAAAATTTGTTTTGGAAAGAAAGCAAGGCAACAACTAAAGCACATTTTAATGGAGTTATGAAAGAGATTGAAAAGTTGAATCCATCTGCAGTTGTGCATCTTATGGATAAAGATCCAAAGACTTAGTCTTTAGCTTTTTTCAGAGTTCACAATTCATCTTGTGAGTCGGTGGAGAATGGTTTTTCAGAGAGCTTTAATAGTGTGATTTTTGATACCCGGAAGAAACCTATCATAAGCATGTTAGATGACATTCGTATATATGTGATGCAAAGGATGGTGGTATGAAACTAACTAGACAAGGATGGAATCATTATTTCGTTTATCCAAATATTAGAACAAGGTTGAATATTCTCCAAACTGAGCAAAGGTTTGTACACTTATCCAATAACATCCATACCTTACTTGGCACATCTCTTAATATTTTTGTTTTTCAACTATGTAGGCATTGGCAGGTCGTATCTTGTGGGAGTATGAAGTTTGAAGCAAGGAAAATGGAAGAGGCATATATTGTTCATGTTCAAAAAAAGGAATAAAGTTGCAGGCTATGGAAAATTAATGGGTATGGTTGCGTACATTCGGTTGCCACTTTAGCGTATTTAAATATCACACCTGGTGGGCCATATGTAGATCCACTGTACTTCGCAGCATTCTTCCATATACTTACAAACATCCCATCCATGGGATGAATGGAAAAAACATGTGGCCTTCTACAGACTTCATACTCCTTTGCCTCCATTGAAAAGACGAATGCCAGGCAGGCCAACCATAAAGAGAAAAAGGGATGCTTCAGAACGGGTGGGAAAACACACCATTTCAAAGGCATGGAAGAATGTTTCTTGTAGCATATGCAAAGAGGAAAGACCACAACAAGGCCACTTGCAGTCAAGTTACAGGTCCATCGAAACAAAATGGGACAAAGAAACAAAAGATTATACCTACATAGGAGTCTGTGAACCTTACAAAATGGGGTGGGGATGAAGAGGTAATGGTTGATGTAGGTGATGCATTAGAGATGACTGGTCAGGATGAGCAAGTAGTGGGAGTCAATGGACGTAGGGAAGGGGTCAGGTTCAATGCTCGTGTTCGTCAAGTTCACCATGTAAGACCACCTAACAAAAGGAAGAAGTTAGAGAGAATCATTAAAATGAAGCTTGCTAAAAAAATGGGAGATGAAGGTAGCAGTCCTGCAACGGCCATGGAGTTGGATTAGATAATGGTTTGATATTTGTATTGTATGTGTGCTATTTAATCGTATGATTGTGTATGACAACAAGGATTAATGTGGTGTTCATCATTCCTACGTGATGCAATAAATGAAATGATGTATCTTATGTTGTTTTATGGTATTGAAAGTTATTATATCCTATTTTATATTAAGTTAGATAGGTATTGGTATTTTAGTCATGTGAATAAACTAAGAAAGTAGGAGAATTATAGCCACTATAAAGGAGTTAGGATGTTAGGGGCATTTTAGTCTTTTCCATAACACAAATCTATAGGGGTATTTTGGTTATTTATATTAAGTTTTGGCCATTTACAGTATGTAAGCAACTCTTGGGTGTTTTACTCATTTCCATAAAACAAAACTGTAGGGGTATTTTGGTCATTTACATCAAGTTATTCTGGAATTCCTATTTTACTCATGTGGATTAACTAAGAAATTCAAGAATTGTAGCCATAGTAAAAGAGTTAGGATTTCAGGGGTATTTAAGTCATTTCCATCAAACAAAACTGTAGGGGTATTTTGGTCATTTAGGGTAGTTTAGCCATTTACAATATGTAATCAAGTATGGGTATGTTCGTCATATAAATAAAGTGACCATTTAGGGGCTACTTGTGTCATTACTAAAAACTTTGGATGTGGTGGTAATTAAGTTAATTTCTATAACATGTTAGTTGTGACTGAATCCATTAAGCTATTCATGTTACGGGTAATCCGACACTTAATCCATTAACAATCAAACAAGAAAAAGTGCACTGACAAGGAAACAGGAAAAAGTACACTTTAGAAAAAGTTTTTTTTTCCAAAAAAGGGTTACAGACAAGGAGCATTGTGCCTCGTGTGCAATATTTTTTTTGTCCCTTTTCCCCAACTGCACCATTTGTGGTCCCTGCGTATCTGCGTAAAAAATAGATTGACTTTGCTTTCGCTTGTGGTCTCATCTCAGCGATGAAGATCCACATAACTGGGACTAACTTACCCAAACATATATAATCACCAAATGTTTCATTCGTTAATGCACAGACACAGACACAGACACAGATGTAAGACAATTTTTTTAATAATATATAAACCAACATTTCAGCCATGGGTTTGTTTACATCATTTTTTCCTATTTTATAACCTATTACAAAGATCATCGACAAAAACTTCATCAAAAAAGGATGACCATCACCATCCCAGTCACCACCACCACCAAACTATATGCACCATCACCACAAACTATTACCAGCACCAGCAACAAGCACCACCAGACACAAAATCTATTACTCACATCGACAATAAACAACTTAAATAACACATCAAAACACAAACCCAAGACAAAAATGCTTTAACCTACACTTCTTTTGTTACTTGAAGAACATGTACGTGAACACACCCACAGTAGCAACACTAACAATCCCATCAGAATACTTCACTCTCTTACATTTGTTGTGCCCCACGACCATCTTCACATACGACCCTTGCAGAGAAAATAAATGATTCTTAAGATCAGCAAGGATATTAGAGATATCCAGATGACCAACGTGAACTTCATCGACCTCACGGTTCATGGCATCCAAGTCCCGATTAACACCCTGTCGGAGCTCACGCAACTGGTCTTGGAAGTCCTCTTGTATGAGAGACAAATTCTAGTTGGGTTTGCAGTAGATTGATAGCCATGTCTGTAACGACCTAAATTTTACAAAGAAATTTTTTTTTCATTTTTAATTAGTCAACCATTTTTCATAAAACATAAAGATTCCAATAATTGTTTCCAAAACCATCAACATTACAACATTATTATTTTCAAAAACATCAGAGTGTCCCCCAAACCAGATCGGAAAAGAGAGATAGAGTGCACGCCGCATCATCACGCCTTGCCTTTGCCCTTAGACTCCGAAGTACATGAAACAAATTCCACAGACGGGAAGCTGAAAGCTTAGTGAGTCCCCCAGAGCATACCCCATACGACCCACATATCACATTAGCTATAAAGCTACCTCTACCACATATCGCATGTCAATTAGCCATGAAGCTATCTCTACCGTTAGCCACAAAGGCTATCTCCACCATCAGCCATGAAGGCTCTCTCTATCATTAACCTTAAGGCTATCTCTACCATTAGCCATAAGGCCATCTCTACCATTAGCCACAAAGGCTATCTCTACCACATATCATGCACACATACATATCACACCTCTACATAACAAGTAAATCAACTATCACAAGATGGGCCGGCCTTAGTACCTTAGACCCATTGGTATGGTGAGAAAACTCACCTCTAAAAGGTTGAACTGGCAAACTGGATTTAGGTATGTCCTGTGCTGCTCTTCCCAAACTGTTTATAATCAATGATTATATATCTCAGCATAGTCTCATATATACCCCCAGGGTCAACCCTGATCAAAGTCAAAGTCTATAGTCAAGGTCAACAGTCCATATTGACCTTGACTCGCCGAGTACAATCATTCACTCATCGGGTTCCCTGCTTAACTCTTCGACTCGCCGAGTCACCCGAGGGACTCGTCGAGTTCCTTGGTGTTTACGGTCGTAAACCACCAACCGTACACCTTTGACCGTAAACCCTTGGTCGTACACCCTTGGCCGTAAACCCTTGGCCATAAACGAGAAAACCCTATCGACTCGCCGAGTCACTTGCACGACTCGTCGAGTCCCACAAAGTTCATCATGATTACGGTCCTTTCCAGTGGGACTTAAGGTCCCAAACTTTAGATCCATCATCTCCTATTGTAGATTTCACGTAAAGTTACAAACTTTACGTGCATGCAGGGCCTTTCATAACCGTAAACACCAAAACTAATCCTCCAACAAGGTTTTCATACATAGAGAGGGAATAAGCTCATAAAGCATGCAACTTTATGATATTTGGGACCTAGTGAGGTTCAGATCTGGAACCATACCCCTGTGATAGGTCCAGATCTAGGCTTGCTTCCATTTCCTCAAAGTTTGGTCAGGAACTCCCAAATAGAATATAGGCTTAAGGTAAAAGATTCAAACCAGGTGTTACAATGTCTTCGTTGGTTACACCACTGGAATGATTCTCCGCCATGTGACGGCGATAATTTGGAGACCAGCTGGGTTTTGCAGATTCTCGCGAAGGCATTTTCCTATTTCGGAGTGAAGTCAAAGATGAGATTGGGGTAAGCAAGTTTCCATATGTGCCATTTTAGGGCAACAAAGTCTTCAATTTATACGGAGGCGGCTTGAACAATCCAAGAGTGCTCCCTACGATTCGCATACAAGACGACGTCCCATATATACCCCCAGGGTCAACCCTGATCAAAGTCAAAGTCTATAGTCAAGGTCAACAGTCCATATTGACCTTGACTCGCCGAGTACAATCATTCACTCGTCGGGTTCCCTGCTTAACTCGTCGACTCGCCGAGTCACCCGAGGGACTAGTCGAGTTCCTTGGTGTTTACGGCCGTAAACCACCAACCGTACACCTTTGACCGTAAACCCTTGGCCGTATACCCTTGGTCGTAAACCCTTGGTCGTAAACCCTTGGCCGTAAACGAGAAAACCATATCGACTCGCCGAGTCACTTGCACGACTCGTCGAGTCCCACAAAGTTCATCATGATTACGGTCCTTTCCAGTGGGACTTAAGGTCCCAAACTTTAGATCCATCATCTCTTATTGTAGATTTCACGTAAAGTTACAAACTTTACGTGCATGCAGGGCCTTTCATAACCGTAAACACCAAAACTAATCCTCCAACAAGGTTTTCATACATAGAGAGGGAATAAGCTTATAAAGCATGCAACTTTATGATATTTGGGACCTAGTGAGGTTCAGATCTGGAACCATACCCCTGTGATAGGTCCATATCTAGGCTTGCTTCCATTTCCTCAAAGTTTGGTCATGAACTCCTAAATAGAATACAGGCTTAAGGTAAAAGATTCATACCTCAATTTGATGCCCAAGACGAACTAGATGCTAGATCCAGTGTTTTCCCCTTGATTCTTCTTCTCCAAACTTGGATTCCTTCCCAAATTCCCAAAGTCAAGCTCTCAAATGCACACACTTCACACACTATGGAGTTTGCGGCCGTACACAGTCTCTTATGATGCTAAGGGAGGCTACAAGAGCGTTTAATGAGGCTTATATAGGGGCAAACCCCAAAATTAGGGTTTTCATTAAACGGCGCTGACTCTTCGAGTCAGCCTTCTGACTCGCCGAGTCATTTCCGTTCCGTGCCCCTGAAATACGACCTTACTCGACGAGTTGAACTCCCAACTCGCCGAGTCCATGCATGAAACTTCTCCATTAGCAAGTTTCAAACCATTTCTCAAACCAGGTGTTACAAATCTCCCCCACTTGAACTAGACTTCGTCCTCGAAGTCTGCTGACCCAAACAATTCTGGGTAATGCTCTCGCATCTCCTCTTCCGGCTCCCAAGTCCATTCGGATCCCTATCGATGTTGCCATTGCACTTTCACCAGTCTTACTTCCTTATTCCGAAGATCCTTCGTCTTCCCATCCAAGATGGAAAACGGGCTTCTCAATGTAATTCAAGCTCTCATCCACCTGGATATCACCCAATGAGACAACCGCAGCCCCGTCTATGACACACTTCTGAAGTTGTGACACATGGAACGTGTTGTGAATCTGGCTAAGATCCTCTGGCAGATCCAAGCGATATGCTACTTTGCCCACCCAGGTCGTGATCCTGAACGAGCCTATATACCGAGGCCCCAGCTTGCCCCTCTTCCGAAACCTGATGATCCCTTTCCAGGGCGACACCTTCAGCAACACGAAATCCCCCACCTGAAACTTAAGATCTGATCGTCGTCGGTCGGCATAGCTTTTCTGGCGGCTTTGCGCGACCGCAACCGGTCGCACACCTGATGAATCAACCCAATAGTCTTGAGCACTACTTCAGTGCTTCCCATGACCCGGTGTCCAACCTCATCCCAACAAATCGGGGTCCTACACCTCCGACCATATAACATCTCAAACGGAGCTCGATCGATACTGGCATGA